CCCACTTGAAAACAGCATCCCAAACTTGTTTTGATACACCACATTTAACAAATAAATACAACAAGGTTTCATAATCTCATGTATCTTGTGCTTTAGTTTATTCAAGATTTATTCTTGAGTGGTATCCATTCTAGTGTCTACTATCATTTCAACATTAGCAACTCCATTATTTTTAGTACCGGTTGGCGTCTCAATACCTTGTTTTTTGAGAACATACTGTTGAATGTTTTTACTATAATTTTAGTATTAGCAAGTATAGTGAATCGTTGCAACTAACCAAAAAAAACATTAAGATTTATTGATTATCGAAAGCAAATACTTAAAAAAAAAAATTAATTGAATAATATTTTACTAGTTGAACAAAAGGTTTTTGAAATTGTTTTGGTTAAAAAAAAATAATAAATTACGTAAAAGATTGTGGTTTGTAAAATTAAAATAAGATGAGACTGATTTATATTTCTGTTACGGAATTAGATCATCTCCTATTTTATATATATATATATATATATATATATATATATATATATATATATATATATATATATATATATATATATATATATATATATATATATATATATATATATATATATATATATATATATATATATATATATATATATATATATATATATATATATATATATATATATATATATATATATATATATATATATATATATATATATCATCTCTGGTTTTTAATTTAAGAGTAAAAAAATTAAAAAAAAATATTTAAAGAGAGAGAATATGCGATAAAAAAAGTATTTTTTTTTAAATTTTTGTCACATTCTCTCTCTTTTTAAATGGTTTTTTAAATAAATTATTTTTCTTATTTTTTAATAATTAGATTATGAACATGGAAGATGACAGAATATATGAAGCACGAGAGGATCCAAATCCTTTGTTTATATTTCTTATTTGACTTATTCAAATAATTTATTATTATATATTATTTTCAATTTTTAAATTAACTTAATTTTAATCTTTAGCGAATAAACTTATAATCCCTTAATTTAATTATCAATTTTTTAAAAAATTATAATTTAAGGTTAAATATTTAGAATTATTTTAAGAAACCACTCTTATTTCTGAGTGGTGTAGGATATCTAATTTAAAGTAGTATCGTTTCACAAAACCTAATATAAATCATTTTATAGGGCGGTGAATCATAAAAAGGATTAAAATTTAATATTAAATACACAACGTAATAATAATTATTTAAGGGTGGAGAACAACTTATTTTAATAATAAATTCTTTTAATTTATTTCAAATTGAATCTAATTTAATGATTAAATTAATATTTTTATTTATAACCATTTAATTTAATTTAATTTAAAAATTATAATTATAAAATAAATTATAAAGACTTACTTTTGTAGTGGATCCTCACTCATTATTTGAAAAATAAAAATAAAAATTTCTAACAACAATTTTATTTTATAAAGATGCACTTAAACATAACTTTAGCGTTTTCAAGATCAACATCAGCATACAAAATAGTATGTTCTAAATTTATTTTCATCTATTAATGATCAATAAAATATGTATTTTGGTGTCATTATATTTTTCTTCAAATTCAAATTTTCTTTGCATTCAATCTCACAATTATTGAAGTGTTTATCGGTTTATCAAATCACGCAATCCTATAATCATGTATTAATTTATCATTAGCTTGAAAAAAAATTATATGATAATAACTCAATCAATACCTTATAGTTTTCAAGGTTTTTAGGATTGTAAAGAGGCTTATGCAAATGTGGGATATTTTTTTAATAGACTTATTTTTATTTGAAGTTAGACATTTATTTTTTTAACTGTTTTTTTTTTCAATTTGAGAATTTTTTTTATTCTCCAAATATATATATATATATATATATATATATATATATATATATATATATATATATATATATATATATAACGTAAAACCATTTGTTTTTATGAAGGTCTATTTTACCAATATGTACCTTAGTTGTATTTAATCATTTTTTAATTAAAACTTGCTAAAATAGATCTTCATAAAAAACAAGTTGGTGTATTATAGCAAACCCTACAGGGATTTGTTATAATACACCTACTTGTTTTTAAGAAGGTATGTTTTAGTAACATGCACCTTAAGGTGTATTTAAGGATTTTTTAGTTAAAGCTTGCTAAAATAGACCTTCATAAAATACGTCCGCTCGTGTGTGTGTGTGTGCGCGCGCGCGCGTGTGTGTGCGTGTGTGTGTGCGCGTGTGTGTGCATGTGTCTGTGTGTGTGCGCGTGCGCGTGCTCGTGTGGGTGTGTGCGTGTGTGTGAATTATGAAATTCGACTGAGACCATATTAAACGGTTCACCTCGGCCAGACAGACCTAATTGATTTTTGATGCATTAGTTTAAAATTATATGCATAATAGGCTGTTTATGGTACATTTGGACGCATAATAGATTGCTTAGTGTATGTAGATTTTTTGAAGTTTGAAGTTATAGAGCATTTGGTCATGCTATGTTCCTTCATTTTTGGGTTTCAAAAGGATACGAAAGTTAACTTATGCATTTTGTTGTTCTACATTGCATGAGTTAACTTCCAAATTTTGTTGTTTTGCATTGTTTTTCTTATTTTGTCTGTTATGTCCCATGGGTTTTTCATCTCTAATTATAATATGAATTTTCTGATGTAATTAGAGATAAAATATTTGATAACATGCTTTCGTTCAGAGGGAAAAAGTTAGACCCTCTTCTTCGGCCGTTGGCACCACTTCATTTGATTTTAAAGCGTCGTCTTTCATAGCTCACGTGTCTCCGACATTTTTCTCTCTGAGACATGAGTTCCCTGTTGTTTCCTTTGATATTCCAGAAGTCTAACATGTTGATGTCGTTCCTAACGTTTATCCAGAAGACCTCTCAAACACCTCACTATGTTGTATTTATGTAGACTATATTTTCAGACCCGTGTGGGATGAAAACATAAACTAAATATGTATTTATTCTTTTAAACGTGTGTTATAAGATTAGAACATTTTGACGTTGATGTATTTTTTTACAGCAACACCAGACATTGAAATATTTTAATCACAGTAGGATGATTGTGAAGTTGTCACAACCTGGTAAACCATGATTTACGAATGTTATGCAACTATCAGGGTTGCAAGATTTATCCAAGGCTGAATATATCTTTATGAATCATGGTTTGTTGTCTACTTTCATTGAGATATGACACTCAAAGACTTCTTCGTTCCATCTTCTGATTAGTCAGATGTCCATCACACTTGATGATAAGTCATCCATCTTACATCTATAGAGTTCTGCGTCGACTATATCCAATAATTATTTAGAGTGTCAGATCCTTACATGACACTAGATACAGAGGGAGAGTCGCTTAAGACAACTCATTAGAAAGTATTATATGAGAAGTAAGTTAGGGCATATCATGACATTGATGTGTTACCTACATGCCAACACATTGTGACTATTGGACGAGCAGATTCAGAAAGACACTCCTGAGAGGGAAACTATAGAGGTCATGATAGTCAAGGCACATAATGTCTTGCAATACATAAGATCGGGGAGGAACAGAAGGTCAGATATCTAATAGTTGACTTTTTACGTATTTTGATCATTTGTATTTTGTGAACAGTGTATGATTTATATTTTAACTTTAATATATGATATTAGGGATGGCAATAGGCAGGGTTTTAGCAGGGTACTATAGTACTCGTCCCCAAACTTGCAGTTTAAAAAAATCTCCGTACTCAAGCTCATACCAGCGTTGGCACCAGCGTTTATATTCATACTCGTACCTTATGGGTACCTAAGTACCTGTATCCATACCCATTTACCCGCATTTCTAATAAAAATTATCAACTCATTATAATTTATCATGTCATTTTAATTTTTTTAACAAAATTTTAAAAAAAATTGAGAATATTATTGTTGAGTTAAAAAATAAATAAATATTTATATTAAAATGCATAGAAATTTAATAGTGATTTATTTAATAAAATTATTAGATAAACATACATACATAATAATAAAAATAAAAATATATAAATATATATAGTGCGAATATAGAACAGGTTGAGTACTGAGATACGCATACTCGCACTCATACCCGCTTAATTTAGTAAATAACTGTCTATGTCCGTACTCATTTTACGAATTTTTACCCAACCCGTTATAGATAAATTTTATAAGTACCCACTAGGAATGGATTTAATTAAATAAGAGTGTATGGTATGATTGAATTATATATTAATATTTTGATTGTATTTTGTGATCAATGTATGATTTATTAAAAATACCATCCACGAGAGAAATTTATTGTCCTAGAGATTAAAACAGAAATTAAATTCGATTATATCTACTAAATCGTAAATAAACACACTATAATAGAGTTTAAAATATATTCTATGAATAAGTCTGAAACTTAACCTATAAATACACCCCTTTCATTAAAACAAACTCACCCTTTCAATAATACAGTGGTTACAAAAGGTGTTTTTTTTTTTCTAAAGGTGACTCTTCACCATCAAGGATGATTTTCTTCTTGGTTGTATTTTTTGTTATTGGTCGGAACAAGAGAGATGCTGGCTAAAATTGAAGTAACAGGCAGTAATATTATCATCTTAACAGTAATCTTGTAATGCAAATGTTAATATATTTTTTAGGCAGGTAAAAACAAAATATAAAATCGGACTCACAGATTATAGATTTTAAAATCCAAAAGTACCGAACTAAGCTTCAGATTCATGAGTGAGAGATTGAAGCACACCCGATCCTTTTTGGAAGGGTAAAAGTTGAACTTTTTTTACAATTGACACCAAGTCAAAAGCACGGCATTCAAAACACGGCATCCGCACTAACTTTATCAACTAAAAAAAGACATTCTTATCCAACAATCAATTTAGATCTTCATAAACCAAAGAAAAATTATTGTTATCAGAATCCAACTCTATACACCAGCAGGTTACGGGGTTTGATTGAAGCCCCCATAGACCAAATCATCTAAATAATGATATTATCGTCTCTGATCATTCCACTTTCTGTTCTCGTGCCTACCAGGGTTCCAATGTCCAGAAGAACCCCGCTGCCTTGACCATTCAGGTCTATTATTTCTTACATGATTCGTTCTGGAATCTGGGAGATTCCTACCTTGAACATACCTAGGATTCCTAGTTGGACTATTCTCCGGACTCCATGTTTCAAATCCCCCTCTTTCATGATTGTTTCTATCCCAAGAACCAGATGGCATGGATCCCCCAACCAATGTGTTATAGTTGTCATGATTTCGTTGAGAATGATAACTCGGTGGCATATCCTGCCTAACTCTCCGGTAATCTGATGCAGGAACTGACTTTTCGAACTGTGGTTGATAGGGACGGACAGGGTTTTGATAAGATGGTTCAGAAAAATGGGGCTGGTGAGGCATCATATGCGTATTTCTTTGTTGTTGTGTGACTGAGCGTGATGTTGTTGGTGAGTTCAACGCGAAGGATTGTGGGAATGAATTAGGCAAACCCTCTTGCATAGTAGAATTAGGTACTACTGGTTTTATGTTACTTATGCCATCAGTCCGCATTGCATGTGTATGAGCACCGACTGGAGATACATCGGCAGTGATTGAGTTGTTCATAGCTAAACCTCTATCAGAGAATGGTGTTTGTGCATAGACTGAGGGAAGAGAGTGAAGTGGTTGTTTTTCATGAATATTATTATTTGGCTGAGGTAGTGAATATGTAGAAACTGTGCCAGGGAGCTGCTTCGAAAACGGAACAAATGTATGTTGTTGCCTTACTGTAGTACTAGTTGCTGAAATCTGAGATGATAAGTTGGCAGTTGCAATTGAAGAAGAGCTCTGAAAACTTCGTCTATCAGATGCTAAGTTTTGCCTTGTAAATGGATTCTTTGGTGCTTCTATGCTGCATCCACTCTGAAAAGTTGAAAAATGGGAAGCCATCAGTTAATGCAGTTAATCAATAATATTTTTAATATTTAATGATTGTATTAATGGTTTCAAAAGTTTTAGTACGCTGACAATTGTTAGTGTGGGGTCCTTTATATTTTTGGTCAGGCTAAGGATGTCAGCACCGTAATTAAAGAGATAAGCACCAAACCAATTTGCCTATTTGCAGTACGGAAATCTAAGAAACTAACCCATTGATTGTTACTCTAAATTGGCTATTTGTTAATATAGAATACTTTTAACGTGGCATCCAAGAACTTGGCTATGAAATATTTTGGTGAAGACTTTAAAACAAACAAGGAATCAAAAAGAACTAATAAATTAATTCATTTCGATCTTAACTTGGGCTATCAGTGAAAAATCCATTTTCCCCAACGCCCCAGGCTACAAGTACTATCTGCCCTCAACTCTCAAAAAACACAAGCCAACATGGCTAAAGTGGAGAGTGCATGGCACTCTGATAGAAGATATAAGACATGATAAGATCTTTGACAAATAGTTGTTGCAGTACGAACTCAAATCACGCACCGTGCTTGGATTGCTTGAAGGGGTTGGAGATGGGAGAGAAACTTCCACCTTCTCAGGGGCCATTGCACTAGTACTGTAGTTTCTATTTGCATTTTCATTTAATCCTGTGTTCACACTGCCTCTCTTGATCATGTCAAGCAGCTTCAAGGTTTCCTCATTTGAGATGTTGCCAATTTGTCCAGAAGTTAAGGCAAATACCAAGTCTGGATTTTTTAGCAGTACGGCAAGCAACTCTAAATCGGGTTCAGCAGTGGCTGCATTACTGGCTGAAGATGAGGAGGCCACCCCTTGAACAGCAGAGTTTGTTGCAATTGCAACTTCAATGGATGCATCTACTATTTCTTGATCATCACTATCTGGTAGCTGTTCAATAGGAATTTCCAGTGTCAAAGAGTCGTCATAGTCCATTTCAAAATCCCAAGGATCCTTGGGGTTAGAGGGCATCTCTTGTACTGTCTGATAAATAGCTTCTTTGTCCCTACGGTTTCTGTTTTCCTGGATATGAACCTCTTTGCTATTTTGACCAGCACCAACTCTCCATGTATCTGGAAGTTTTATTTCTGCAAAAAAAGGACCAAAAAATAAAGATTTGAAAAAAATCTAACTAACTGACTAACTGGAAATTTAAAGAAAGTAGTTGATTTTGGAGTAACAAAACATTAGAAAACAAAACCAACAACAGGAGCAAATTTTATATGGCAAACCCACTTTTTACAGGAGTGTCTCAATGTATGAGTTGATGCAATAGAGCAATAGGCACCACGGCCAAATAAAAAAATGAAAAAGACAGGAAAATAAAATATCAAAAGTGTATTTTCATTAAGGATAGCTACAAACGTATCCATGACCTTTGACCGTGTAAATATCAATACAAACAATTGCCTCCATCAGATCATTTGCCCAATTTATTTATAAATTACAAGATTTACAAACTTCATAATTTGGTAATGAATAATCAAGGTTCCATAAGAAGCAAATTAAATGTGTTCTATGAGAAGTGGAAAAGGAATAAAAGCAAATGTTGCTGGCCTCGGGCATTTGACCGGTAATATTAACATACAGCCCGTCATGAGTTTTCAAGGCTTGTAATTGAATCATAGACCAGAATCTAGCACACAAATCACCAAAAGAAATGAACAACCGTTTGCTGTTTAGTGTCTTAATATTACAGCCAACAATAATAGTCATAGATGCCACGAATGCCTCAAGATTAGATTGGAACATTGCTGGAAGTTTTATGACTGCAGGATGTAATTTACAAATAGTACCAACTTTAAACCTACACATATTACCCAACACTTGTAACTACATTCGGTTGCCTGATCTGCTTTGTAGTAAAACCATGCAAAGCAGACTTCATGAATTAAACCATAATCCCATCACAGCGCAGATAAAGAACCAATAATCCAACCCGATCTCTGATCATGACTGCAAATTACAAAATAAAATACCCAAATGCAATACTTGATTGATCGGGTAATACTATGTATAGGAATATTATCTTTAAAGAGTGTTCTCACGGATGCTTATTCTGACTTGAACAGGGTCGGGACAGTAAAAAACTGTCATATTTCAAGAAATGAATAATGAATAAACCATCAATATAATCCCTAACATATCATTCTCTTTCAAATTTAGTCACTAAAGCAATGTCGTTAAATAGTCATTGTGGCAGCTACTGCTATAGCTCAACAAAATGTGGACATAACATTATTGGCCCCATGCCACAACACGCTGTTTAATACAAAATATTTTCAGTCGTTATAGCACTATTGCATAGCGGAATTTTAACAATCCGCCATTTTCCACTTTCCACAATTGACAACACTGCTCATAAGCACATAATAAAATAAATAGGCTTAAATTATATAAAATTTGTCACTTTAGTCTCTACTATTAAGATGTTAAGGACTAACACAACGGAATTTCATATACTTTCCAGACTAAATTGAAGATTTTATATAATTTAGGGACTAACTATTTGGATACTTAAGAACCAAATCAAAGAGAATGAATGATACTTAAAAACTAAGTTGATTGTTTATTCAATTCATAATTTCATCTTTTATTTAGGATGAGGAATATTGACTACTGTGCAGAGACGGGCAATTTTTCCATAAAAAAATTATTGCACCAAGGTTCATCTCTAAATCTTTACCTTTTTACTTTAATTTTAAATATTCTGACAAAACACATCCAAGAGCTAACACCGAGATGTATATTTTTTCTAGATGATTAATCCTACTTGGAGAGTCGAAAGAAAATTTAAAAATGAGATTAGAGACTTGGAGACGAGTCTTAGAAACGTGTGGTTTTTGCCTAAACAGAAGTAAGATGGATTATATGAAATATAAGTTTAGCAAAAAAAAAACATTTATAACCAAGAAGTGACAATTGGAGATCATATTGTACTACAAGTTACATGGTTTAAATATCTTTGATGGATCCGTAGTACAAAATGAAGGAAGTCGTAAACCATTGAATTCATGCTGGGTGATTGAAATGGAGGAAAGTCTCGGGAATTTTATGTATTTTATGTGACGCAAGTACCAGCGCTAAAGCCAAAGGAAAAACTTCATCGGACAATTGTAAAACTTGTGATGTTGTAAGGGACAAATGGTTGGCCGATTAAGAATCAACACAACAATAAAATGAGTGTTGCAGACATGATGTTGTGTTGGAATTGTAGCAAGACTAGACGAGATAAGAATAGAAATGACAATATTAGAGAGAATCATGGGATAGCACCTATAGTAAAAAAAGATGGTGGGAAATAAGCTTGGGTAATTTGCGCATGTAGAGAGAAGGCAAGTAGATTCTATTTCAAGGAGTAGGTTAGATGGAGAGAGGTTAAACAACTAGAGATAGAAAAAGACCTAAAAAAACTATTAAAAATATCTAAAGTTAACGAATTGAATATGCTATAATTTTATCCATGTAATCGACTTCACTTAGTAGGATAAGACTTGGTTGTTGTTGCTGCATCTTTTATTTTGACCAAAGCACACCATACATTTCTATCATATATTCACACTTAAGCATCAGTAGCAATGTATGGAATTTCACCGTTGCTTTGCTTGGCTCATTAAACGAAGATAGAAAACATGGATTTATACTGCTGATTCATGCCTAAATCAAACTCATCTATGTCTGAACTTTTAATCCTTGGGCAATGGAAAAGAGAACAGCTAATTGCAATATAGTTTAATTGTTTTTATAAGAAAATTGTATAGTAATTAACAAGCTATTGATGATTGGTATTAAAAAAAATGACCCTCTTCATCCTTGCGATCCCTTTTTACTGATTTATCATAGCTCGTTATAGTCAATTACAAAATACAAAATAGTGTATTAATAATTGCATATTTAGAACTATCCCACAATTAGTAATAAGGCATGGGGAAAATATTCAAATTGAACCACTGATGGATGTTTGAGAGATAATGGATGGTCTTAAAACCCTTGAGCAAATCAGTTATTATTATTTGGATATCAAATTTCAAGAGACGGATTTGACACCAAACTTCTATAAATCTCATGAACACCTTGTAGGAACATGTATACAAATGGACAATATGGACCCAAGTTACTTACATATCATGAGGTTAGATCACGACTTTTGTTCTATTTAACATTTGTATAATAAGGTAATAAAAACAGCAAAAAGACAATGGGTCAGCAAGTTAGCATCAGAGTTGCAAAGAAGCCTCTGAATTATCCTCCCAGAAAATGTGCAGGGATTCTACTGCATGTACCTCTTTAAATCTCAACGACAGCATACCTCTTAAAACGGTCAGTTATCAGTCTTTCAAGCCTTTTTTAACAGCAGTCAATGAATTTTACCAGTTTTTCTATATCCTAATAGGCATGAATTGATAGAACCGACAAAAATATGCAAATGTACCTGCTGGTGTTTTCCAGAAGATTTTCACCCTCTTGCACTTCTCCGGGAGAGTTTCCTTCAAATCTGTTTTCAGTTTAGAATAAGAAGCTTCCAGCCTATTAGTAGTTTTAGAGGAAAACAACAGAGGCTTCTTTTCTTCAATTTTGAGCGGCGCTGGAACTTTAGAAGAGCAAACTGCAATGCTGGCCTTCGGAGATTTACTCAGACTTTTGATTTTGGCTTCTTTATTTTCTTTCGAAGCAGTTTTCCCATGCTTACTCTGCATAAATAACGCGCGCATTTTTGCTTTCTGGATATCATCGGCAGACATAGGACGGCCTTGACTTACCGGCCCTGACCTTGCCGCCTGTGGACTTCTACTCGTCGATCCTGGCTGTTCCACCAATTGCACTTTTCTGCGCTCTCTAGATTCTGAGATAGGTTAAGTTGACATTTTCCATTATTCAACAGCTAACATGAACAGTTGACAAATTTATTGAGCAAATCACTATTTTAGAACTTGAAGAATGCTGTTTTGACATCTAAATAGTCAAAAATGCTATGCTTTCTTGTAAGCAAACTAATATTGTTTCGTAAACAAAGATTCTAAGTAGAGGACCAGTTTGATGTTACAAATCTTTCGAAGACCAAATTGATATTCTGGAAGTCCTTCAATATTCTGAAAGTTTTTCAAATATCAAATTGGGGGCGTATTCCATTTCTATGCTTTAGCCGGCTAGTTTCATGAATCTAATCCCAAATTATTCATAGATAAAGAATTGGCCCTTCAAACTTCAAAAAATTGGTAATTGTCCTGTGCTGAAAAAATCAGTATGTTTTCATAAAAAAACAGTTGGTTGTTAAGAAAGACTTGCAAGGAGAGAAGTTGCAGGATCAAATTATTTTAGTCATTGCAAGAGTGCCACTGAGTTTGCTTTTCTGAAGGAAAATTAGCCCACAATTGTCACTCCAAAAGATTATCCAAGTGCCTAATGCGTTCAATTTTATGTGTTTGTTATTTTATATGCTTGCAGAATATAGATGGGATACCCATCAGCATTCTGAGGAACCAGTTAACAATATGTAGCCAACAAAAAAAAAAAAAAAACTCGAAGGATACGAGATGAAGATACACCAAGGGGAGGTTTCTTATTACAATCATCTGAGCTGGGCGGCAACAATTTCACAGATTGAGGTCCCATTTTCCTGAACAAAAAAGAAACAAATTTGAGCATAATTCACAGCCAGTAAAAGCGAAGACAACCAACTATAATAGGTTGGCACAAAATCTGTACAAAATTAGTAGGCAGAGAAACTTATTTGATAAAAGATGACAAAAGGCAATAAAGCAATCAGCCCCAACCAACACACCTGAAATTATCTGAAAACTCATTCGAGAGAGCAAGAATATCTTCCTGGTAGAAAGAAAGAATAGCTAAGAAACATGCAAACTGAAAAACAATTGCTAGCTGAAATGTACATTTAAGAAGACACTTACAGGAACATCATAATGCCATGATTCAGGGCCGATTATTTGACCAATACTGCAAAAATAAATATCATAATAATTGAGAAAGAAGGTCATACAAATTCTGTATCAAAAGGAGATCAAGACATAAGCTTGCCTCTGAGAAAGTAACGTCTCTTTTTGACCATCATAGGAAGGCTTAACACCATTGGGTTTCTTTATGGCTTGGTTCCTTGTTAACAATTTGCTCCACTTTGATAACAAAACCCTTGCCCTGTTAGATATGTCTGATCCTCAAATCAGTGAGACTATAATTCATAAAAGTTTATAAAGATAGTAATACAGTATAACTATTAGATTTTTAAACAGCACCCCTTCAAATTAAGACTTGAAGCTATTTACAGTCATCTAAGAAAATGATAAAAAGGACAATAGAACTTGAAGTGATTAGTTACATAAATCAATCTAAAAGTGTCATCTATTGCTCGAAGAAAAAAAAAAAAGACATTTCATCTCTTAATTGGCTAAGAGATACAAGGTGACAGACTGACAATGAATCAAATGAATAACTAGATTCAATTGTCAACCCTTCAAATTAAGACCTGAAGCTATTTACAATCATTTCAGAAAATGATAAAAAGAACAACAGAACTTGAAGTGATTAGTTACATAAATCAATCTAAAAGTGTCATTTATTGCTCAAAAAAAAAAATATTTCATCTCTTAATTGATTATGTGATATAAGGTGACAGACTGACAATGAATCAAATGAATAACTAGATTAAATTGTCAACCCCCCTTCCACCTCTCTATCTTGCTACTTCTAGTATGCACGATATCATAATTAATAATAACAAGCTATTTGTCAACTAAAAAAATATGAAAATAAAGTCTCATACGATACTTTCCTTATAAACATCCTACAGAATAGGAAAACAGAGAAATATACGAATATGAAACTCAAAGAAACAAGCATAGCTGAGAACTTTGAACCAGGCATGTTAAAGTAAGAAAGTTTGCTAGGGTAAACAGGCTACAATACAAGCTAACGACATGTTAAAATACACCCTACTATAAGAAAATATGCTACACTGCTATTATACATCCTTCAACTGTAGTTGTTACTGATCAAACACTTGCCATCAAGGTACAATCTAAGGTTAATATACAGAATACACCCATACTGAGGGACACCGGGATAGGGGATATTATAAAGAACAATCAATGTCAAGTTTGATGGACACTAGGCATGGAAAAGAAAAATCACACCTGATGTTCTGTAGAACCGTAGTCTATTAACACTCTGCAATAAAGCTGATATGTGTGCAGGAAGGGCTTTATGTAAAGGCAAATGACAAAGAACCTGCAACACGGTTACCCAGTAAGTCTAATAGTGGTATTTAGCTACGTAAAGATTTAAATAACGCAGACAATGCATATTAACAAGATAAATCAAGATTTACCTTCAAGATAAGAAGCAGTACACTTGTTTGCTCTTCAACGGCAGCTTTAGTCAACCAATTTGCTAAAGTTATTGCACCTCCTCCGGTCAAAAACCTAAGTATACAGCCATTAAACGAAATCAGAAAAATACAAATACTATTATTGAACAAAAAAGGTTTTGAAAAAACAAATAACACACCATAACAAGACGGAAAAGTTCTGTATTGACAATATCCACTCCATCAACTTCTCCTGTCCACAAAATGTTTCCTCTTTCTGCATTAGTCCAAAAATGTTCTCGACAAATTGTTTATCTAAGTCATCCAGGTCAGAAAGAGCTGCTTCCTGTGTTGAACAGGATGCTTCTTCCATGCTGATGGCACCATCTGAGTTTAAGGGAGCTGGATTTATTGATCTCACGGGATCAGAGTTCATTTGCACATCAAGAGATTCGGCACAAGAATTAGATTTTAATGCCTTCTCCCTTGACAATTGAACTAGTTTCCTCACTCTTGAACGTTGACTAGTGAAAAAATCACGCACCTAAACCGAAGTACAAAGACTCGTAAAAGTCAGTGCATGAGAACAGGGTAACATGTGTGATCTTACAACAAAATTTGAAGTGAATATGTCCCTTTTGTTCTGAAAAAGGGTAATGATTATAAATGTGAATCTAATAATCTAACAATCCAAAACAGATGAGTAACAACAAAAATTCGGGATCAGAAATGTTTCTGCATACAAACCTGTGTTACTGTTACACCAAATAAAGCACTGATCTCACGAGATTCTTTCTTACTAATTGCATCTTTAATAGAAAAAACTGATTGCATGTAATTTACAGCCTTTGGATTTAATAAATCCCTAGGTCTTTTTCCTGCAAGTTTGAATTAAAAAGAGATATAAGACATGAAACAAAAAGTAGATAAATTTGTAATTAGTGCAAATAATGCTCAGAATAAGGCTGAAAGAGGCATAAACACAACATTTATGTCTTGCTCCACTTATTCCATCGGTTAAAAATGAAGGGTTCAATTACCGAACTGATGGTGTTTAAGATGTTATAAAAGAAATATAGTTCTGGTAAAGACCTATGTGAAACTGACACGGCACCTACACGTGCAGTTGCCTTCATGATAGTTAAATTTCAATTTGAATCGTAAAATTGGGTACGAATACGATTATGCTTGCCCTCACTTCATGTGATAAGGCTCAATTGTTGTTGCCATTCTAGCTTGCCTTCAGCGATTAAGGGTCTACGCAGAATCTTATTTTGGTGGAATCGGGTGGCATTTCCCTTGTTAATCGTTGAATCTATGATCTTCGAAACGTTTTTGCAATTATGCTTATGAGTCAATTTAAATGTATATAGTTTGGAGAAACGCCTATATAGAACTAACATGATGCCTACACATGTAGTTAATATTAACTATTTTGGTTGCACTTGGTCATTTTTGTTTTCTCAAATTATTATCGGTGTCAATGAGGTAGTGTTGTGTTGTGTAATATAAGCCAGGTGTGAAGTATAGCAAATGATAATGCAATGGAACAAGGGTTGTCAAGTTAGATGTCAGCATAGTAAGCCACATTGGGTATATCTAATCTAATATAAAAGTAAATTTTTAAAACTCGGCGGGTATTTAGGCTCAGAAATATAAAGCAACCAATCATATACTTCAACTTTTAATGTTAATTAATCTTCTCAGAAATATAAACAAAATTCCAGTGAAGACTTACCGATTTTTATTGACAGAGCACCAGCAGCCTGCACACACACAAACCATAATAAATGAAGTAAAATTGGACAAGATCAAACTATATAATGATGCATTGAAAGAGTTGACTAACACAAAAAAGCAAATATACAACTGGAATGTGTTTGGTTGACATATCACGCGCGCACAGAATGTCTTTGATTGGTGTATCACGCGCGCAACGTGTGCACGAGTGAAGATGTGCGCGCGTGAAACAAAAGTCAACGGACTAATTACCATAAACCAACAACATTGCAAGCCTAATTTGCTACATTATGCTAATAACTATCCATCCTTTGTCAACTACTAATAATTATTACATGTAATTGCCATAAAAAAAGAGGATCAACATGATATTTATGATAAAAAAACAGTTCAAAAAATGTCAGATGTAAGAGATACAGAGCAACTTGATGAAGAGAGAAATCACCATTTCTTGAGAGAGAGGATTGACGCCGGTGAGTTTGCATTGCGTGACAATAATTTCCTGAAACTGATCGATCTGACTATGTAAGAGTTCTCTCTGAGAAGCCAAAAACCTCTGGAACGACTCGACGGAACTCCCAACCTCCAGCTCCGATAAATCGCCGTTCCAGAGCTCCATCGTTGATAACGAAGATCGATGCTTCTTCGTTACAGTGTGTAGCAACAAACACGCATTAATTAGTTAATGTTATTAGGGGAATTGAATCCCCGATGCTTCTCTTTGGTTCAAGTTGAGAACGTAAACTGGTTAGGGTTTCGTTTAGAAGCTAATTTTTAAGAGAGAGAGTTCTGACAAGGATGAGACGAGAGAGAATTAGACCGTGTTTGGCTTTCGAATTACTTTTCGCGTTCGTTAAAGAAAATCATTTTTAAACTCGCCCCTTCACTCGAACGGTAAGTTTTCGATTCTTTGATAAAAGTACTTTTTATTTTCATTTTTTAAAATATGTGTGTTGATTTTAATAAGATAAGTTATGATTAGCTTATAAATTGGTCACAATATATGCTTACTAATCAAATCATAAATATTATAGAAATAATGGTATGGTATTATTACATTATAGAATATTTAAATTATGAGATTAATTAATATGCACCCACGGTGTATTTTATAAATTATAAAAATAAAAATTAATTTTTTTTTTATTATTCAACGTTTGTGATTAATTGACAATGTAAAAAAAAAATTCATTGTCAGTGAATTTCAATTAAATTCTTAAATTATTTAACTGTAATAGGTTGGTTTTTTAAGAAAAATTACAAGTATGTCCTTTAAGTTATATAATATTTATAACATTGGCAATTTTATATGATTTTGTTCTAAAAAATACATAGTTATCATTAACGGTGTTTATGTAGATGTAACACTCTTGAGACGGTTGTAATGTTGCTATGATGTAATTGTTTCAAACTAAACTTTAAGTTATTAGACAAAATCTCTTCATTATTGTCGCGGTGAGAATTGGATGTCAAATTATTAATTAATTTAAATCTTAATTCATTTAGTTCACCACCGGTCTTTTATTTGTCCAAAATGAAAGAAACAAGATCGAATTACCCGCAATGCAATGCAAATGCAAAAGTTAGAGAGTTTTAGGTTCGGGGGTTGGTTAAACTTATGGAAGGTGCTAGCATCCTAAGTTTCTCTAGTACTCTACAGGAACCTCTTGTTTTAATGTTGTTTATTGCTAAGGTTTGTCTGCTTAAGGATGGAAAACTTAGTGCTTTATTTATAAGTATACTCGCCAAGACGTCGCATCTTGTGCCTACATATCCTGACGGGAATGGAATCAGAGTATTTGTAGTTCCCCCTAAAGGGTTTAAGGAACTTTTTGATTGTTGGTCAAAGTTCCTAAGAGATAAGGGATGTTGATTGATTGATTCTAGGAGAAAAGACGAGTTGTCATCTTAAGGGAGAACATTTGACTTAACCACCACAACTTGTAGGATATGGTCTTTGCATCGTCTTAAGAGAAGAACTCAAACACTCGGAATTATCGACGAGTATGTCACTATCTCTCTTAAGCCGAAAAGATCTTACATCTATTGTTATGGGGCAGGAGATTTATCTCAACTGTCAAGATGACTAACATCTTATTCTCTAATGGTTTGAATAGTTTGAATTGAGATGATTAAGATTGTTTTTCCTAAGTTGTAAAAGATAAAAGAGAAATGTTCCCCTTAAGTGGTAGGAACTAAACTTAAGAGATCAACTTGAATGGGATCAAGGATCAAATGAGGATTATGATGCATATGAGATGCGTACGCACAAGTTTTACGTCATTGTGCAGATTCTTCCTTTAGACATTATGCAATGCGGTAAAATAAATAACGGTCAAATAAAAACGGTAATGTAAAAGCATGCAAACAAATAAAGGCATAAGAGGTAGGCCAAGTGTGAAAGTTGTGAATAGTGAATCGGTGCTCGAGGGGTGGAAGCGTGCACGATTGATTAAGTTATGGGAGGAGTTGAATTAATTTGTAGTGACATTAATTTTAAGAGAAATTATTTGAAGGGTGAATTAGTCTAATTTATTTTAGTAAAAAGATTTAAAATTAAATTTCTAATAAGTGATTTAAAAGGTAAGAGGTCTTCTATATTTTAAAATAAAAATTGATTGTGAATATGTTCATTTTAGTTAAAGGTTATTGTTATTATAGATATAAGTCAATTTATTATGAAAAAAGATTTTTAATTAAGAAAAAGGAACAAGTTATAAGTTTATTTAAAAAGGTTATAACTATAGTGGAATTATTAGAATAAATAATAAGGTAATGACATGAGTTAATTAAAAAGATTAATTAAAACAGATTGATTAAATAGATAAAAAAACTAAATTAAAAAAATGAGTTATTAAGTTTGTCTTAAATAAAACGGATGATTAAAAAGATTTAATTAAGTTGGTTAGTTAAATTAGAAATAGGTTAAGTGGTGATATTAGATTTAGTGGGATGCGTTGGCGATGGTCTACGGTGGACGTTCGAAGGGTGATCGCACGATGAGATCAGGTGGGGAACGTGTGGTGAGGACGTGTGAGTGCGCGACAATGTTGTGGATGTGTGTATACAAGATTACAGGATACATAAAAATAAAAATGTTGAAAAAGCCCATAACCATAAATCCTAATTTCCCCTTTAGTTCGTCGTCTTCTTCTCTTATCATCTCTCTCTCCATATCGTGTCGTCTTCTTCTCTTTTTAATTTCTCTCTTTTTCTTCTTTCTCGTTCACCATCTCTTCCATGTTCATCATCTTCATCTTCTTTCCCTAAATTTGAAACAAAAAACAACACAAGTCAAAAGATCAACGCATTTAACAAATTAATTCTCACTGGAATGTACTCAGAGGAGTTCGTTGGAGTTGGCGGCGGGGATTCGTGGACGGAGGCGTGAAGGTTTAAAGAGAGATAAGTTCTTCTAAATTCATCTTTGTGAAATTTAGGGTTTCGATTTGGGGCTTTTCTTTTGGTGTCCTCCTTTTTCTTTTAATGCTCTTAGGTATTTATAAACTTCTGATTTTCCAAAGAAAACATGGACTTGGTTCCTATTAATGCTGGGTCATTGCTGTTTTGAAAATAAATTGGTGTTGTCCTGGACATGTTGGTCCTATTTTGAAGTTTTCATGAATGCTTTCCTTTTTTATTGATTTTCGGTTGCTGATACGGATCTTGAATTAACTCTACAGGATTATGTGTAGAATTTGTTCTTGGAAAGAAGAGAACACGTTCTGGGTCGATATAGAAATAAGTTGACTTGTTGCTTTACGAATCGTGACATCTGATACCTCCATTTTTGCTTTGGAACTCTTGTGGATTATTTTGGAAACCAATTTTGCATGACTGATAAAATTACTTTCTTTTCAAAAATGTTGAATTGCATCAGAATGATTACTGACTCTTTACTTTCTTATTTCATGTACATGATGGTAATGCCTCGGAGCCGCTTTCTCTAATTTGCGTTGATGACAGCATCTCGTCTGAATAAAACTGCAGTGCTTCTTTGATTAAAATTGATATGTTGGTTTTTATAATGGGTGCTTCGATTGTTTGCTCGATGTTTGAAGAAAGACTTAGAACGGAAGCCACCATTATTTTCTTTTCGGATTGTTCTTAAATTGTATTAACATTCCTTCTTCTTCTCTCAGGAAAAACAATCACCTTGAGTTCAGATATTGTCGATCTTGACACCATCGAGAAAGGTTCTAAAATTCGGTTATGATGACGTTACGTCTGAACCAATCAGGGCTTGGAATTGTTGTTGTTGCCTTCTATTTGTTTAGCCTATAGCGTTCTGGTCCGAAATCATTTTCGATGCCTAGCTGGAAGTTGGCGACGGTTTTCGTTGCCCTTCCGATTGCTCGAATCTTTGCCCAATGATGACCTGAAAACCTGAGGGCTGAAACCAATTCGATTCTTATTAAATTTTAACTTCAACTTATTTTTATAACGGCTTTTCTTACTATCAGTTGGTATTTGCTTTGACAAGTTGGAGTGACAACCTGAAGATCCAAGATGTTGCAAGGAGGGTCGCGTGCAGGTTTACGCATTCAAATCAACTTCCTTCGAGACGTTATTTTGCTGATGACAGCCATGAGCGGAATTGGATTAGGCTGGCAATTGGTATGCCATTATGGTGATACTTCTTAGTATGAGATATTATCATGTGGTCATAATGTTTTAACCTTGTGTTCAAAACTTCTGCAGGCTAAATGACACTGCTTAGAGGACGTGAAGAAATTATGATGACAGTAGCATGTTGGGCAAGTGTACATAAACGGCATGAAGATGGACTGGAGTGAACAAAGCCTAAGCCATGAATAATTCGTGAAGCAAGTACCGTGTGCCCTGGTGTGTCTCAATCAATCATCGGCTGCCAGCACCGTCTTGAGAAGAGTTGCTCAAAAATTCTCGTATTTCAACCCGTACAATGTCACGACCCCTCGTAATTTGTGTTCTCAAGATGACAAAACGAATTTGAATATGGAATGATGAGCTTGTATTTAAGAATTTATCAATGGTGAAGCATGAACCCATGAAATATGGCAATTTGAAATCATCACCCGGTTATAACTTGGAGCCTCGAATTTCGTACGTTGAAAAATGAAACGCGTGTCAAAGTTAACTTGAACATTGTTGCCAAATATGGTTATACAAACTCGAATTTGAAGCATGAATCTTTCAATGAGGTCCTTAATTATGAGGTTACTTTGATAACATGAATATTTCCATTTGGGGATAGTTTTGATGAATGTCACATAAGAACTCCCTTGTGCTTATAACTTGGATTGTCAACTTGAACTTCTTACTTTGAGCTTGTAATAAATCCTTCCATAGAATTGAAATTGTCTTAACAACGCGAACTTCCGATTCACATCTCCTTGAGCTCACAACCTGCAGAAAATCTTGAATATAACCCGGAATTCTAATCGGACTTTCAAAACACAGTTAATTATTGCTGATCGAGAGAACAACGCTCTTATCTTCGAAATTTATGCACTTGCACACACTTGTTAGTGATAACAAACACACGCACACAAGTAAAGCTAAAATGTAAGAAACGCACAAGGGGGTGGGATCTTAAGGTAAAAAGTTAGGATGTGACAGATGCCCCTATTTAAGTTT